ACTGAGTATTAGTGAACATGAAAACAAAAATACTATTAAGTAGAAAGAATGATAAAAAGACAGGAAGTAAGAAGAGAGAAGATAATGATTGACATTGCATTTAATTTTTGGTAGATGAAAGTTGACTGGGAAAGAAGAAGCTGGAAGAGAGTTCCACAAGCAGAACTGTGATAGAAAAATATGTTAGCATAGAACTTATGGTTACATCTTGCAATTTCAGGATCTACTTGAATTATATACCGATAGATTTGTTATCTTAGCGTATATATATATATATATTTATACACGTTTCATTAAATAATATAGACAAGTGTTGTCTATTTATTTTATGTAAAATTTTTCATCTTCTGATAAGTTTGATAACATTATCATTAACCGAAAAAGAAATTCACAATATTTATCCATTATTTTTTAATATAATCTAAGCTTTCGGTTAATGATAATGTTATCAAACTTATCAGAAGATACGAAAAATTTTACATAAAATAAATAGACAACACTTGTCTATATTATTTAATGAAACGTGTATAAATGAAAATATGCTGCCTAAATACACAAATATATATATATATATATATATATATATATATATTTTTAAAAGTGTTTCACCCCAAAGGTGGGAAGCCACTAGGACGCAAGGGGTTACAGAAAATTTGGAACAAGATCAGATAGGAGTGATAGAAGAAAGGATGAGGAGAAGGATAGTGGATAGATCAAGGCAACTGGAGATGTCGATTGACATTACATTTGAATAGCTGGAGATTATAGCTCTCAGGGAAACTAGAATAGGGAAGGAAGTTCCACAGGTGAGAGGTGCGAGACATGAAACTATTGGAGTAGAAGAGATGGCAACATTTAGGAGTTTCGATAGTGAAGGGGTGAGAGAGGGATGCCAGCCTCATTGGGCACTTGAACTCATGAAGTCTGGGAACCAGTGAATGCAGCTCCGAGGAGCAATTGCCATGAAAGTATTTGTAAAACAGACAGAGAGAGGTGATGGCACATCTGTGAGAAAGTGTCCGTAGACGAGATGCCAGAACAGGGCCAATTATATTGCATATCCACCTCTGGAGCTTATCAAGAACCCCGAGGCAAACAGAAGGGGCTCCAGACCATATATGGCAGCAATACTCCATGCAAGGGCGAATTGTTGATTTGTAGATCTGGAGGATCGATTCCGGGAGAAAATTTCCTAAGCACAGGGAGCCAACTTTCCTTGCGGATGAAGCAATTGACTCAATGTATTTGTTCCATCTCAGGTCAGCCATCAATGTGAGACTGAACAGCCGCAGAGAGTTGCTCTCGAGAAGTTGAACATCAGACATTCTAATGGAGGGCAGGGAAGGATCTTTGTGGTGATTAATAGAGAGCAGTTTTTATATATATATATATATATATATATATATATATATATATATATATATATATATTAAAAATGGACAAAGTCCGACAATTTATTTATTAAAGACATTTTTATGTTTAACGTTCTTTTTTTTTTTTTATAGATACAAGTATTTAAGGGTTAGTATTAAATAACATTTACTGGCCTTTCGAAAATCTTCATAGAAAATATTCATCCTTTGACGATTCGAACCTGAAATCATTTACGTTATTTCTATACTGTTTTTACTGCTTATAAACTTCAATCTTGATTGAAAAAGTTTATAAAGGTCAATTTACGCTTATAAACTTTGATTGAAGTTTATAAACAGTAAATCGACCTTGCCTACTGAACGCTTCTTTGTGGCTGAGAGGTTAGGCACGCTAGCGCCAATGACGGTTCCGTAATGGTTAGGTTCAATCCTGTCAAAGGACGAATTTTCTAAAAATTTTTTCGGACATTCAGGCCGGTAAATGTTATTTAATACTGTTTATTAAAACAGAGCATTTACTTAAATACTTGTATCTATAAAAAAAGAACGTTAAACATAAAAATGTCTTTAATAAATATATATATATATGGCAGAGTAATGCATAGTGATTCAGATTGAGGAATCGGAGAGCTGAGTTCAAATACCAGTCAAGTTTATTTCATTCACTTACATGCTAATACCCTTAGGGGAAAGGTATGAATTCGTTTTCTCTCCTCTCCCTCAGCTATAGGTAAATAGCAGAACAAACTGAGTCTTATAGATTTGGCTCGTGAATGGTCTAGGAAAAGGACAACTCTGAATTCAAAACCTGCAGAAGGTTGTTTAGGGACCTTGTGGCATACTGTGCACCAGTTTCCTATGTTTGAATCTTCCAGAAAGTGTGGTTTGTTCTGCACATGCCTTCACCATTATAATCAAATGTTAGGAGATGTGGGCAGTCTGGCTGTTGCTTCTGAGAACCAAGTTGCTTGACCCACATACATTGAAAAATGACAGAAAAACCCAATATATATATATATATATATATATATATATATATATATATATATATATGCTGGTGGTAAACTAAGTAGGTAATAAAAAAGTAACTAAAATCTTGCCAACCTTTACTAGGTTCAAATGTAGGTAGCTCTAAAATAAAACTGGGATTATTGTATTTTTTATTCGTTTTGTATGAATAATATATTATAATACAATATTCTGAATGGTTAATCTTCTGAATGTCAACCATGAGAGATGTTTATAACATGTGGTAATATTAAGGAGTGCCTGGAAATCATATGACAGATTGAAGTGATTGGGAGTGAAATTAGATAGATGAAACTGTTCTGAAGCCATCAAGCCCTCATGACTGAGGTTTTGAATCACAAGTCCCCTAGATTGAGTGCTTGATCTTACTGGCTTTGTTCATAATATCAGATTATACACTATCTTCTAGAAACTGTAACTAAGGTCTGCACAGCATAGTTGCAGTATAAACCACAGTTTGGCTCTGTGACTGTCGAAGAAACACAAATGTGCCTGAGCAGGTGTCTGCAACAGGGATATATTGAATGTTTTCTTTCAGTTATAATATTTTGACCATTATGAAAATCTGTGCATTGCTGTAGGATATCTACAAGTTCACTGAATGATAATGCCATGGACACATCACTGTGTTTATATTTCTTGAAATACAATCTTGAAATACTCTGACAAAATAATTTGAAGTAAGATTCCTTGCGACAGACAAATAAAAAATGTGGCTGTGCCAGTCAAATTGGTCAGTATTTTTATCTTCACCCTCTTCCCAACCAACTGGCTTTCTTCTGTCTGTTTTCAGATGCTTTATCTTATTTGCATATTCATGAATCTGTCTTTTGGTGACAGGAGGTAAAAACACATTCAGACTTGGGCCTCACTTTATTTACTTAGGTTGACATTAGTATTCCATTTCTTATATATGTAAATATAACTGATAGTTGTGACATTTTTGCAAATACACATGAAATGTGCACTGTCATAATTATTTTAAACACACATGAATTAATTTAAAATTAACTGTTAAAGCTATGATGCTGTTTCCATGTTTTTATCTATCACACAAAAATTTAAAGACACATTCCTATCCACCTTCATAGTTCAGAAAAATATTAATTGATAACACAAGTATACTCCACCATGAAAATAAAAAACAAAATCTTCAAATTTTCGCGAGCCTCTATGTAAGACGTAAACAACCAACACTAAATAATGTTAGCTATGAGTATAGCAGCAGTGTTTTAAAATGTTTATAATAGCAATGTTTTTGCATGGTTTATTAAATTTAAAATTATAACTATAGAAATTAAAGTTACCTCCCTTAGATAAAAACATGGAAAAAGCATCATAGCTTGAACAGTTAATTTTAAATTAATTATAACAGAGCATGTGCATGAATGTTTAAAGTAAATATAAGTATATCTTGACATATTTAACTACTTACTTAATCACTAATTCAATTAGTTACTAACCAAACTAATATTTTTTTACAATAATGTTCACACTGTACAAGGCTCAAGAACAACTCGAGGCAGATGGTTAAAGAGGAAAAAACACAATTTATGGTGATATATGGGGAAGATAATACTTAACTTTAGACTTGAACAGGTTAAGATTCTAGTAGTCAGGGAAGCATCCTCTTGGGAGTTGGTTCCAAAAAAATAAAGCAGCTGTTCATGAGAAGAAGCTGCTTGAGTTGAACTTACATCTCACCAAGGGAATATTAAGGGAATAAAAGTGGTTGGCTACAATGTGAATGGCATGGAAGATCTAAAGTCTCATTAAACAGTTGCATTCTCAAAGAAGCTCCTTGCTTTGAGTGCTTATTAAGACAAGTTCCACCCAGACCTCAAGTGGAACTCTCATACACAATCCATTGCTAAAGATGGCGGAGTAATTGTTGGCTCCTTATACTGTTCTTGAAAGTACCTAACTCTGCCTGACATGCCAAACCAGACCAAAAATGGAGTATTGCTGCCATAAAGCAAGAAAAAAGGGCTAAATATAAACTACAAGAAGACAGAATGAATGGTTGCCAGGAAGAAGATGAGACCAAATTACAAATTGGAGATACTAAAATCAACAAATCAATCATGGAAAGTTTGACACTGATACCTGAAGATGCATTAGGATGGCCAAAGATGCATTCCAAAAGCTAAGCAGAGTATTAAGAGACAGAAAAATTTTGTTAGAAATAAAAGAGTACTGAACTGTAACATGATATCTGTCCACCTATATGGCAGTAAATGCTGGACAATCTCTTCAAAGATGAAGAACAAATTTGAAGTAACAGAAATGTGGTTCTACAGAAAGATACTGTGGATACCATTGATGGAACATGTGAGCAATGATGAGGTTTTATAGAAAAGGAAAACAAAAACAAAACCTATACTTAAATCTTCTTTGAACCGTTAGCTGTCAGTTTACCTGGAAAGAAACAAGCAGTTTTTCATAAGAAGCTTTTAAATTAATGCATAAGATTTTGATGCTTTTAAATTAATGCATAAGATTTTGATGCTTTAGCATTGCTTCTTCATAGTCAGCCTATGAACTTTTCAGCCCATCCTAATGTTTTTACTAAGTGACAAGATCCCATTTTCCCAAAAGTTTTAAAACTGTTCATATCTTTTTAAATCTCTGCATTATCTATCTATCTATCTATCTATCTATCTATCTATCTATCTATCTATCACACCCATTAATATATATATCTTTACATCTATTATACTATTAATGTTTTTGAACTGTAAAGTGAATTCAAACGTAAATACATCACCATGGCTGCTAATTAATCAATAATTTTCCTCTTCTTATTCTTGGGGACTAAACCCTTTTTCTGCAGTTGCTTGATAAAACCATGATGCCAAATTTCGTCCATTTTCAAAAGAAGTCATTACTAGTTACGTTTTGAAGTCTTTGAGTCAGCCTATGAACTTTTCAGCCTATCCTCATGTTTTTAGTAAATGGCAAGATACCATTTTCCCAAAGGTTTTATGATACCAAATATGGGGTCTGTGTTTCATGATACTTAACATGGACTCTGTGTTTCATAGACAAATACACGTTGAAAAATGTTACCTCCAGATATATGCTATACATGCAAATGATCATCTGCATGAAGGCAGAACCTGCAGAACATGATTCAGCCTACCAGGTGATTCCCTTGCAGCACCACAGTGACATGCATGATGGTCTTATGGTATATGTAGAAGTCTGATTTGAGGTGTAGATATCTATGATTCTGCTTACATGTAAATGCTTCTGACATTCCTTGAGTCATATTAACATTGATATGCGCTGCTATTTTTTTACAATGTGTTGATCATGACAAGTGTCTGTCATATAGGGCAGTCCAGAACCTGGTCCACTGGTGTAGGAAGGTCCATTGCTACCTATATCTAGCTACCTATATCAAATCACCATCAATCTGTCATGTCAAAGATGCACAGCAATTCTTTGAAATGACTTTTCCAACATCTAGAATGTACACAACTAAACCTTCTTAAATGGCTTTAATTGAACAGAAAGAGCATGTGTGCATCTTCGCAGTGTGATGTCTGCACTGGACTTTTTAATACTGTAGTGACCTACTGCAGAAGGCAAAGAGGCATGCATTTTTGCAACAGTCAACACTAGAGAAAATTATACTTCAAGACAAAAACAGATTTGAATGTGTTTCACATGTAAACTAACCAAAAAAAAAAAAAAAAGAAATGGTGTGTTTGGCTAAAGGAAATGGATTTCAGGAATTGTTTACAAGCCAGAAAAAAACTACAAGCTTACAAACTTTTCTCTACAACTAAACTGAACCTTATCACTACATGTCATCTTTTAAAGGTCAGACATGGATGGTGCACTGGTATGAGTGTTACTACATGACAAGATAGTCTGATATTATACCAAGATCATAAATGGTTTCATCTTCCTGTGTGTTGCAATTTTCTTTTCCTTCAGCAAGTGTAGGGAGGAAGATATTTTGTTATGAAAATTGTGTATTTTAAAGCCTAGTTCAAGACTTTAAATTAGATATTTATATTTTTATTTGTCAATTTTGAAAGTAGATTCATTAATATAAGATTAATTTTTGTAAACAACTTAGTTTAAAGGTGTTTTCTTTACCATTATACTTTATACTTTTCCATATCTGCAAAGATATTAATTTTGATAATTGAACCGCAGTTCTTAAATGCATATTGCAAACTAAGAAGCTATCTTGACAATGTTTTGATTATTGTTTATAGGGTTTTAGGTTTCCAGTTTTAGATTCAGGATTGTCCCATGAGACAATAAACAAGTGGTTTGGTTTGGGAATTTGGTGCCGTAGAAATATTGAGTTCAATCCCTGAATCAAGTTTTACAAACTCAGAAATCAGTGCCAAAAGGAAAAGTAGCAGTAAAAAAAAAGAAGAAAATGAGAACAATTTATTCTTGTAGATTAAAGGGTTCAGTTTGAAATTCCATGAAGTTTACTCATATCGATAAGCACCTGAAGAAGGCCAGAGGTACAATGGTTGAAATGAAGTGATGATAGCAACAAAGATGAGGACATTAGTCTGAATGTAAATAATGATAACTCTTTATCCCAGAAATTCAGACAGCTATTAACTTGAGTAATAAATTGGCTTACTAAAATTCCCCTCGCCTGAGGAACTTTTAGCTGTGAATTCTGGGAGTAATTAATTCTCAATCTTTTTTTTTTTTATAAAAAGCACAGATGCAATTTATTTGTGGATTTTTAAAGAATATTACCTTTATAGATCTCTATATATCTAGCTTGATCTGTTTGTATTTTTCTTTTCTATTTTAACTAATCTTCATATCTGGCCTATTACATTTCCATCTATCTGTCTGTTTCATTAGACCTGTGCCTAATTTTAGCATTTTCTGTTGAGCTTATCAGCCAGTGTTTAATATGCTGATTTTCAAGGCAAGAAATCTTATATCCCATGAAGAAATCGGTGTTATGCATTTTTTATTTCCCTAAAGTTGTGCACTTGTAAAATCTAAAAAAATGAATCTATTTCTATTTGTCAGGTTGGCGACATGTTTTGCTTTTATCTCTGATTTTATCTTTGTTGATTTCTCTGCAATTATGTTTCTATATGTCTCTCTCTCTCTCTCTCTTTATTTCTGTAAGTTCATGTGTGTGTCCCTTTCTTTGTTTCTGTCCGTGTTTCTTTCTCTCTCTCTTTCTGTGGTTTTGCTTTTTGCCTCTCACATACTTTCTTTCTCTGTCTCTCTTTTTTTGTTTCTGTCTCTCTTTTTCACTCTATTTCTGTTTTACTGCATATATTCTCTCTCAGTTTCTTGCTTTGTATTTTCTTCTCTTTCTTTCTCTTTGTATTTTTCTCTCTGTCTTTGTTTTTCTCTCTTTTTCTGTTCATTTGTTTCTCTCTATTTGTCTCTTTGCTTTTTCTTTGTCTCTCTCTCTATCTTGCTCTGTATTTTTCTAAGTGTTTTTCTCTCTTTTTGTGTATTTCTCTCCTTCCCTCTTTGTATTTTTCTCTCTCTCTCTCTCTTTGTATTTCTCTCTCTTTCCTTCATTGTATTCCCTCCTCTCTCTTTCCCTCTTTGTATTTCTCTCTCTTTTTCCTTCTTTGTATTTCTCTGTTTCACTCTTTGTATATTTCTTCCTGTTTTTCTCTCTCTTTCTGTTTCTCCCTTTATGTGTATCTCTCTATCTCCCTCTCTCTATCCATGTGTCTTTGTGAGCATCTATCTCAGTCTGTCATTCTCTTCGTCTATTTCTTTCCCTCCTTCTCTTTACCTGATATTTTTAAATTCAAAATTTTATCCTTTATTTTTTTATTTTTATGCACATGTTCATAGTTGTTGAATTCTTTTACCACACACTCTCTCTCTCTCTCTCTCATTCTGTGACCCCTCCCCACATTTTAGTCTTTAGCTCTCCTACTGCGATCACACATTTTATCCTTTATACCAATTTGCCCTCCATTTATTTCCAAATGATCTCAGAGCCACAATCGTGACGGATAATGACGATGACGACGATGATGATGAATGGTAGTAGCAGCATTGATCAGCATCGGAATGGTAGTGTAGAAAGTGAAATATTATAACTCCTTTTGTCAAACCTATCGAGTTCAGTGGAGTACGTAGATCTCCAGAAAATCATTTTCACTATTGATTTTTTTCTTCTTGCGATTGCATACAATTGGCATGGATGCAGATGATTTTCGTCTTTCACATTTTTTTTTTTACTGCATTACTCATTGGTAATATATATATATATATATATATATATATATATATGACCAAGAAGGAGATTTGAATATAAATTTTGATATTTGGTTATTTGATAAAATTTTTTGAAAGTGCGTTAGGCCAAGTACTTTTCAAGCACACCTTCCTTTTTACATATGACCAAGAAGGGATTTGAATAAAATTTCTGATATTTGATGATTATATATATATATATATATATATATATATATATATATATATATATATAAAAAAAAAATATATTTAAAATTTTTTTGATATTTTCAGTTATAAATTTTTTATATTTTTCGTTTGTAATTCCAATCACCTGAAGAAGGCCAGAGTGTACAACGGCCGAAACTTTGTGAATATGACAATGAAGATGAGGATAACAGTCCAAATAATTTAAATAATGCAGAAGTTATTCATTGACACTTGTTTTATTAAAAACAACAAAAAAGAATTGTTTTAAAGGGTTTAGTCTGGCACAAGGCAAGTAGTGTAGGTACCAGTGAGAATCAAACTCACTACAGTGGTAATATTGTTTTTTTTTTGTTTTTTTTTTACAAAGTAAAGAGTTATGGAATAAGAAGCACAGTTTCTCTGTGTATATTTCTGAGATGAGGTATTATGTATACTATTTACATTATTCAGACTATTGTCCTCATCTTTGTCGCCATATTTATTACAACATTTTGGTTGTTGTACACTCCGCAATGAAAAAATTGCAATATGAGCACTGGTAAAAATGTTGCTGAAGACATTAGGTTTATAATACCCAGAAATTCATACACAGATGTCCTCAAGGATACATGGCACAATGGATAAAGGTGTTAGTTAGATCCAGTGACAGGACCCAAAAGAGTGTGATATAATGGTTAAGGCAGTGGAGAACTTTCAGAGGGGAATTAACAGGAGATAACTGATAACTGACATCCATTAAACTAGAACAGTCTACCCCAGTGAGTGAAATAAAGTGTTCAGTTTAACATCCCAACCACCTGAAGGCCGGGGGGTACAATGGCTAAAACGTAATAGATATAGAGACAAAGATAAGGACAACAGTCTGAATAATGTAAATAGAATGTGGATATGAAGGAAAGAGAATGCTTAATCCTAGACTTGAACAGGTTAAGATTGTAGTAATCAGGGGGAGGATCCTCTTGGCAAATCGATTTCACAAAGCAGCAATAGAATACAAAGAAAGATGGTGGTTTGTTACAATGTGTGTAGCAAGGTGGGTCTTAGCCTTGATGGTTAGAACTGATGGAACAAAGAAATGTAGCTCATCTGAGCACTTTCCATGGAAATAGCAATAGAGCAAGGGTTATAAGAGGGGAAACTAATCTGGACTGGAGGGTTGAAAACAAAGACTGGGCAGTTCCTTCCCACATATAGCAGCAGTACCCCAATTTCAGCCTGAGCTAACCTTCTAGTTTACTGAACACTGTCAAAAATAAAGCACTCTTCATTCTGCTCAGAAAATATCTAGTTTGTTAATATTAATAAAAT